TGTATTGAATCACAGCACTCATGCCAATACTCACCTCTACTCACTAGAGTGAAACGAGCTGCCTTGGAAATTTGTGCAATTTTGTGCTGAAAGCCCTAAAAAGAAAAGGTGACGACGTATTTGGACAAAGACATGGCTGAGCAAACGTAGCTAGAAGAAAGACAGAAAGAACTCCATTTCACTCGCACCCTTTCAAACATGTTTGATTTTCTCCCGACCTTAAAATTCCTGATCAGGCGGTGGTGTTGAGAAGCTAAATTGCACCTCGTTACCCCCTGTACACTACAAGATGCACCAATCAGGCTGAAAGTCGGCCTGATCGAAAATTTCTCACACGACTGGAGAATCGGCCCGAAAAAGGGCAAAAAGTCATACAGTGTATGCCTGGCTTAAGAACAATCTGACCCAAGTAAAATTAACCCAGGAGTTACAGAACCAGCAGCAGTAAGTTCCTATCAGCATGAAAATATCAGGCTAGGCTCCAAAACAGCTAGGCTTGATAAACGTCCACTGATGTGATCAGGATCAGAGGGTTTTTGGAGAAATGGCGGTGACTGTGAGCTTCTGGGCTGCAGCTCCGTTTTTTAGGACCTGGGAACATCTAGAAACCAGCTTTTCATCGATAAAATAAACTTATCGAGCCCCCACCTTCAGGATGTCGGGGTCCTTTGCGAGCCGCAGCAGCTTGCAGGCCTTCCCCAGGCCGATGCCGTGCAGGGAGGGGAGATAATCACAGCCGGCCAGGATGCACATGTAGCGGAACTTCTCCTGGGTGAAAACGTCCCCCAGGGAGCGGCAGCGGCCCAGGTTGTTCAGGTCGATCTCCACCCCGTTGCCGTGCTTGTCCATTTTGAGAATCACCTACAAACAAGAAAAGATCAAACATGGTTCCTAGCGACTGATGAGACAAAGGACCAGGAGCACTTCACCCCCTGAAACCACTAGCTTTAGCATTAGCAGGTCCAACCTCTCAGCAGTAACTGCTGCTGGATGTCTGTATTTAGTGCCTCTGGTCTGAACTTCATGCCTGGATGAAACATTTACTCTGTCCAAACTAGAGCAGCGCTGAGCCGTCTGAGGGCCCCTGGAAGATAAGAAGAGCTAATGTTGGCCTAAAAACCCAGAAGGCTGCTCTATGGGCCCTGCTGTCTTTGGGGCTCAAGCAGGGAATCGGCTGTTCTCCAGCACCGTCCCTCACCATACTCCCTGCTAACTGGTCACTGATCAACCTGAGCAGCTCCTTCGTGGCGGGAGGAGCCAAAGCTAGAAGTGGTTCCTAGAATTTCTAAAAGTAGAATGGGA